GTGCATGAAATAAAGTGCAGCAAAAGTATAGTTACTGGAAAAGGAAGGCTACATTAAATACAATATTTATAAATAAAAAAGCTACTAGAGCTTAAATAAATAGCCATTGGCTTGTTTGATCTGTCGGAGACGATTGAAGTGCGGGAGGGGATACATAGAGAAATCTAGATAAGTTACCAGGAGACTTGTAGAAGTGGGTCTTCACAAATACTTGGTGCACAAAATTACAAGTGGCAGTCCTTGTTGCTTAGTTAGGTGGGGTGCTCCATGGGAATTACGACATATGCCCGTCCATGTCTGAATAAAGAATTTGTATATACATAGATGCGATATCTATTTCTATATGTGGTGATGTTCTGTTGCTCATTTGGAGGAATGAATCCTTCTTGGAAATTTAAAATACAGACGACTTACTATGCTTGTCACAAGTAACGATATCCTAAATGTTGGGCTCCGGAAAGTGTTGGGCATGACGCAAGATTGATCTGTCCTTCAAAATAAATATTTTTTTAAAAAAATTGTGACTAGGGAGATATTCTTTTTGAAGTAGAGAAAATATATAATTTGTCTTTAATTTTTAAGAAGGACTGACCACATTAATAATTAATTAGGGGCAACAAAGAACGGGCATGACTCTACTTTGGACGTTACCCAAAGCTGTTTCAAACATTCTTGAATTTTAGTTTTCAAATGAGGTCAGGCTATCTAGTCTAATAGCTACAAACATTATATAAACTTTATTGGGCTGAGTGATGACATATGATCATTGCTTTGAACAGTAAAACCCTATCTAAGTTTGGTAAATAAAGAAAATGAAATAATGCACATAATTATCATTGATTCATTGTGTTAATTATATACACGTAGAACTTTATCTAAGTATGGTAAATAAATAAAAGCATATCCTAATTATATGATATAGTCAACTATCAAAAATGGGGAAAGTTAATTACATAAATTGCTACTATAATTGGGAAATTATTTATGTAAATGCTACAGTGAATCAGATGAAGATTGCATTGACGATTGAAGCTTGATTGATGAATGATTATCTCTAATATTCCATTGATTCATTGTATTTGGATTTATAGAGAGAGAAAGTTTTACTAAATTAAAGGGACAATTCCGTTGGGGCTAGTTTGGTAAGTGGGAATGGAATGAAATTAAAAGGATAAGGCTAGTTTTGGTAGGTGGGAATGGAATGAAATAAAGTAGAATGGAATGCTTTTAATTTCATTATTTTGTTTGGAAAGTAATTTTAAAGATGGAATGCTCATTCTTTACCTTTCTTGGAAAAATTATTCCACTTTTCAACAAGAGAAATGGACATTCCATTCTCACTTAATAAAAATAATATTAAAAATCACTTTGCTTGAATGATGTTATTGTTAACACAATTTTCTCGAGATTCAATAAAAGGTAACTTTTTCTTGATATTCTCTCTTTAATTTTCAAATATATATCAAAAATATGTATTTATGCATAAATTTTCAAATATATATCGAAAATATATTGATGCATATATATATATATATATATATATATATATATATATATATTTGGTTTACATATATATAGATTAGTTTTTTTTTTTAAGCCATGCATAACTAAACGAAAGAATGTGATAGATCATTCCATTCTCATTTCATTCCCTGATTCATTTATTTTTATTTTATTTTATTTTTTCGTACCAAATTAGCCCAGATAATAAAGGCATGAAAAGTATGGGGTGAGAAAGTAAAGAAATGGCCGGAATGGAAGGCTTAGAAATTAAAGGTGCAATAAACGTAAATTGCATGAAAGGAAGGCTACATTAAAGATGACATGGAAGCTTAAACCTTAAGAAAATATCCCAATACAATATTTATAAATAAAAAAGCTACCGGAGCTTAAATGAATAACCCATTGGCTTGTTTGACCTGTTGGAGATGATTGAAGTGTGGAGAGGGGGCTTGTATATAAAGACAAATCTAGAAAAGTTACTAGCAGACTTGGAGAAGTGGATCTTCACAAATACCTGGTGCACAAAATGACAAGTGGCAGTCCTTGTTGCTTAGTTAGGTGGGGTGCTCCATGGGAATTACGACATATGTCCGTCCCTGTCTGAATAAAGCATTTGTATATACATAGATACGATATCTATATCTATATGTGGTGATGTTCTGTTGCTCATTGGAGGAATGTACGCTTCTTGGAAATTTAAAATACAGGCGACTTACTGATGTGACCTAAAAGCTTGTCACAAGTAACGTTATCCTATATGTTGGGGCTCCCGAATGTGTTGGGCATGACGCAAAATTGATATGCCCTAAAATAAATGTTTTTTTTTTTTTTTTTTTTTTTTTAATCACAATTTTTTTCAGATAATTTGTCTTTAATTTTTACGAAGGACTGATCACATTAATAACTAGTTAGGTACGACCAAGGATGGGCATGACATTACTTTGGACGTTACCCAAAACTGTTTCAAACATTTTTTAATTTCAGTTTTCAAATGAGATCATGTTATCTCGTCTAATAACTAAAAATCATTATATAAATTTTCTTGGGCTGAGCGATGACATATGATCATGGCTTTGATCCGAAGAAGTGAAAATAGGGCAATTAATGATTTGGATGCAGACATAGTGTAATTTGGCCGATCCAATCATTTTTGGCATTGTGATGGATAACAATCTCAGTAGGGATGTGAATTGCCATGTAATGACTCTATGCATTTTTTGAGTTTAGTTTTTCATGGAATCGTTGCCGCGAGCACATGACCGTTTCATAATTATAGGCCACGAGCGCATCAAAATTGAAAATACAATTTTGAGTGCAAACAGCATGCCGTTGGTTTTGTGTGCCTTAACAAGTTTATAAGATGCTTTATATATATAATCCGTGAATGAGTGTATTGGTCGGTATTTGAATCAAGGAGTTCATTTGACTACACAAGTAATTTATATATATATATGAACGTGTTCATATCATAGATATATAAATTACGAAAATTATATTATCATAAATAATTCATGATTGATAATAAAGGATGGACTCTTTTTTAATTAATATATGAATTAATTGGATCTAGGATAAGGTAAGAAAATTGTAAGAGTCGTCGTAACAATTTGCCCCTTATCATTGTTATGGTAAATGATACTCATGCATGAGATAGGTATAGACTATGGTCCGTAAGGTATAATGATCGGTACTTCGGTAAAGTATTAATTAATAACTTAGGAATATATTCTCGAGATTTGCATCGATGTTATCTCAATTATTTTGACTTGATTAATTTGATCATGAGAAATTTGGAAGTCGCCCAGGTTTAATTTGAAAAATGATTATATATATAGATATATATATAGATATATATATTATTTTATTAGATAAATGTTTTACGTGGTCAAATGAGAAATAATCAAGGTGTCAAAATAAATGGATTAATTATTTATACAACAACAATTATGAAAAAAAAAAAAATAAATAAATAATTGGATTGATGACTATTATTATTCAACAGTTAAATTAAGCATATAACAGCCGCAAAATAACTTCGTGGAAATTATTATTCTAAATGGAAAACAATTAATTATATATATTATATATATATTTTTTTTGATATTCAAATTAATTAAAAGACTAATTAAATAAGATTAAAAAGGGGTTGACTGGATTAATTATTAGTCTCTTGCAGTTACGAAGTAAATGAACCCAAATATATCCATACTAAAGAACTCAAACCACAAGAGTATGGTACAAAATGAATTGTACTGCTTGATAGGGGCACCCCATTTGTCATGTTAAGTTGATTCAACTACTATTGATTTGTTGTACAAGTTGAATTTTTCGCTAATATATATATTAGGAGTAGTACTGATCTCTTGTTTCTCAGAGTAAGAAAAATCTTCATACTTTTTATAATGACCATTAGATTAAATCTAATTGTCACATTCTAAATCTACTTAAATGTTTTTCTTTTAATATAAAACCACTATCATTATTTTTATTTTTCAAATTTAATATTTACCAATACAATTAATTATAACAATAAAAGGTAAGTACTAAAAAAATAACAATAATGATAGTATAATAATAGCAGTATTAAAGAAAATACTAAGAAAAACAACTAATTTACAAAGGAAGTATGAAATTTCATAGAATAATAGCATGTTTTGTCGTGAATCTCGTCCTTACGTCAATAAATTTTTGTTATTATAGTATAATTAGAAAAAAAATATATTGTGCGAGTTATTATGATGAATAATTGGAATGTGTTTACAAGTAGTTAGAATTTGTGATGGGTCAGAGAAAAATAGAGTGAATTTCTAGTTTTAAATAGCATGTATTAGGGGAGGAATACAATAATTTAAACTATAATCTATTAAATTTTTTATAGATGAAGTTTATGCAAATCATAGATTACACTAAGTTGATCAAGTGGAAAAAAAAAAAAATAGAGATTTTATTTTTAATTTTTTTTATTTATTTTTTAGTCGATGTTTCATTGTTTTATATGTCAATAGTGTAGATTTTAATTTATTTTGCACACTCAACCAGACAATGTCAACTTTAGTATTGGTGAGACGTGATTTTGAGAGGTGAAGAGATTTCTATTTTTTTTTTTTTAGTACGTACTTTTTATTGTTATAATTAATTGTATTGGTAAATATTAAAATTGGAAACTATAAATAGTGATAGTGGTTTTGTATTAAAAGGAAAACGTATAGGTAGGTTTAAAATGTGACCATTTAATCCAATGATCATTGTAAAAAGTGCGAAGAATTTTCTTACTCCATGGGGAACAAGAGATCACTACTCTATATATCAGTATATCAGTATAATTATGTATTTTCAATAAACCCAAGTTGATCCAAGCATAAACTAATATATATCAGTATCATATATCATGTATTTTCAATAAACCCAAGTTGATCCAAGCATAAACACATCCACAAATATTAACATGCTTACACTTAAGTGTTTTTTTTTTTTTTTTTTTTCAATATTTATATATATATATATATATATATATATATATATATATATATAAAATAAAAAAAGGGGTCATTTCCCAACAATGGTATTCATCATTTTAGTGTCAAAACCAGAAGAAAAAAAAAAATGTCAAAGGGCGGCAAAAAAAACTTGGAGGATCTTTGCTTATATATACATCAAACATCTTTGATGTATAATATACATACTATTAACATATATATCTGATCATGGAGGAAATAGACGGAATAATAATCCATTTCAATCTCAACTCTCATGGATGCATGAAAGGCCTTGTAAGTAGCTGCTCATCCTCCGATGAAGACTCAGAGATGTTATAACGGAGACCACTGTCAACCGGTGAGCAGAGGTACGTCGAATTTATCATCCACTCATTGCATTGATCCGTACGTATTTTGCTTGATGTAGAAGCCATTTCACTGGTTCCATTGGTTAAAAGCACGTGTTGCTGGTACGATCTTGCCACTGTCTCTTGATTAATCGGATGTTGCTCCACAAAACCACCTATATATATAAATCCAATTAACATACAATTAAAATAATTTCTATTTAATCAAATAAGTCAATCCAAATTAGGTCATTAATTTCAGAACATAGTTTGCAGTAACCGCTATATGGGTCGCGGTGTAGTCAATGTAAACTAATCGACGGATCGCATATAAAAGAGTGACCTATCGACCGATACGACGAACCATGTTTTCAAACTTGTCCAAATTTGTCTCATATACGTTGAGGATTTGATCAACACATATGCACCTGAATTGACTTGTTGAGTTACATAATACTTTTGCAATAACTTATAAATTAGGCTTGTTAGTTTGGATATAAAATATTTTTTATTATTTCTTTTTTTTTTAGTGTTTTGTTGTCCAAAATTCAAGTAAAATATTTACTGACTAAAATATTTTATCAAAACCAAACAAAAATAAGTTGTACTTCTGTTCTGAAATTTTTTTTTCAAGAATTTTGCCATATAGCACAGAAAAATAAAAAGAAAGAAAATATTTTACCTAAAATTTTTTTGTATGTATGAAACTAACAGCGCAAGTTGAAAGGAGATTAGTTACCCTGGGTCAGTAGTGGTGTCTCGTTCAGAATTCCATCGATTTCTTGTAAGGAATTCCACTTTATATATGCATCCTTCAACAAACTCTCAATATAGGCCTGAATATGATAACAATAAGATCAAAAAATAAAAAATTGGATGAGCTTTAGAGAATCACTATATATATATATATAATTTTTGTCTGGTTGAGATTCATACCCTATTCATGCTTGTTAGGTCGCCACTGTGGTACGTTTGCCCATTAATCACGGCCCTGACAACTTGACATATAGGGTTCAAGATGATGGTGTGATTGGCACCACTGTATATGTACATTTTGTTGCCCAGAATGCATGTCCTGGCATGTTTTACCGTTACCTCCCACATTTTCTCCGACATTCCAACACCCACTATCTGTTCAAGACATATAATCAAAAAAGAATGTTACTTATTGTGATATATATATATATGATTAAATACAGATAGAAAAAATGGAATTTAATAATTAGATATATACATTTCTAAGCTTGTGCGAATCGACCGTAAACAGCTTCAAGAAGTCTTGTACTGTATGAATGCTATTAGAGGCTAGCTTCTTATGGAAAGCTCCATCTCTTGCAATCTTCTCAAGTCGCCACACCTCATCTTCAAGCTTGGGTGGGTGGTTTTTCTTGTACACTGTCCCTCCCAAACAAAGATTTTACTTAATTAGCAAGGTACAATTTTTATTGAGCCATGGATCGTGTTTTATTTTATGCATTTAATTTCTATACTAATTGTATCGATCCCGGGATGGATTCAGAAAAATATATGAGTGAGACAATTGTAAATTTTTTAAAGAATTTTAGTGCATCCCGGAATGGATTCAAAAAAATATGAGTGGGATAATTGTGATTTTTTTAAAGAATTTTAGTGAGGTAATATTAAATTTTTATAAGTATATATATCAAAATGAGAAAACTAATAGGGTATAACAATAATAGTATAAAAAATCAGTGAAGACAATTGCTTTGAATGAGCCACTTGTAAATCCGTGCCTACTAGGATAACAAAAATCAAATATGTAAAATCAAACAACATATTGTAAAATTTCATAATTTTATGTCATACTAAGGTGTTTGAAATTCGGAACGTGACAATTTAATTGTATCTAAAAACAATTTTTTTTTTTTTTAATAATTGGTACTAATATTTTATAGATATATATTTGAGTGGGTTGCAGCATATGGTCAGTATCACCCAATTCTAAATCACATTATGACCAATATATGAATGGACACAAGTAACAGAAGAAACATATATATATATATATATGTATGTAAAGTTTAGAAAATTGACAGGGGAGATGACTACTAAGACGAAGTGACTCCCTTGTGCAAAAGTGCAATATTTTTGGGCAAAATATCAGAAGTCACGACTTTGACACAATGAAATGATAAATAAAGGTTCAAAATTCCATGCATACATAATTGTTCTTGAGTATATATACACACCATGCTGACATACATAAACAAATATCATCTATAGATAAACAATCTTATATATATAATTCCATGGCCAGCAGAGCATGATGTTTGAGTAGGCAGATGGAGAAACGAAACTTACATTCTCCACGGTGGTCTTTAACCACGAAAGACTCGGTGATGGCTTCCCGAATCCTAACACCTCTGCTGCATCCTTGAACCACCCTAGCACCAATCCTGAACTTCCGGCTACGAATCCAGCTTGAATTATCAGTGAATTCAATGTCTCCGATGACTGCAACCCTATCATTATTCCTCATGGTGGTGTGCAGCTCTCCGGTGAGCAAGGGCCTCTTACCCATTCTCTCCCTCAAAACATGCTTATTGAATTCCTCACTACTCCATGATGTATCTCCATCTCCTCCGGCAGGGAAGTCACCATCGAGCACCACGATTTCCACTTTGATCGGATAATTACCTCCATCATTACCTCCTCCTCCTGTTGAACTTGTTGTGTCCACCAGACGGATTTGTAACGGGTTGTTTTGGATGTCCACTATCTTGCTTCCGGTGAATATTGGGAGCCCAAGCCTCTCTCCGAAGCTCAGTTGCAAGCTTGATGGAGGTTCAAGTTCATGGATTAATCGCAGTGATGGAGACCGAGTTAAAGATCGTGCTGCACCATGTCTTCTTAATCTATCTTCTACTTCTTCACTCACCTGGGATATGATCATCCAATTAATAATTATAATATATTTATATACATATATATATATATATAGTTGAAAACAATACTGATTGTACGTACCACTCTTCTAAGCATAGGTTCCAAGGCTGAACAGAAGTTCTGTAAGTAATTCACCATAACCACTTCTTCTATCACACTGCCGACCAAGAGACAAATGTAATGATTATAAATACTATATATAATTATACAGTAGTGCAATATGATAAAAATAAAAATATAAAAATAATTTACTGAATTTTTATTTTTTATAATATTAAACGTGTATATAGATGAGGAGTATATATAAAAATAAAAATAAAAACTATTTAGTGGTAATATAAACATAGTATATATATATTTATATATATAGAGGGTAAAGGGATCGAAAATAAAGCAAAAATTAAAGAAATACTACAAGGGCTTAAATTCTAATACATACGAAGCCAAAGAAGGCTTAGTCTTCTTCCGTTGGTCGTTTGGCTGATCTGGGTCGAAACCGGATTCATCAAAAAACCGTTTGCCTGCCATTCTTAGAAAGAGTTTTGACAGGAAATTAACGAACTGCTGTATCAAGAAGAGATAGATCCAATAGAGAAAAGTGTTAAAAGAGGTTTGGACAAGGGATACTAGAGCTTAATTGAGTCTCTTGTCTGAATTATACTATATAGTATATATAATATAGATGAAGCTTCTCGGAATGTTGGGGGAAGAAGCTGGGTAGGAGACGCAAGTCATGGGTCATGACCGAAGTGCCATGATGTATAGACGTTGACGTAAAAAAGTATCATGTAGTCAACACCCTCTTAACTCTCAAATTAACCAAACACACACAGACATTCATTGACGTGGGTTACTAGTCAGGGTTACTAGTCATCAGTAGATATAGTCCGTCGGATTTAAACGCGGATCCGTGTATTAGCTTGGGTCATCATCAATCAGTCTAGTCAATCTTATTATCTTATATATATTTTATATGTATTGGGAATTTTCAAGCAAAAATCTCACTCATTTCTTGGAAAGTTTGTTTTGTCCTATGGAGAAAGCCTGAACATGGGCATGTGGGTCCCTAATCCTTAAAATTGATCAAATCTGTAAAAGGAGAGGTTATATTTCATTACTGTGTCCGCCCGGGGGGGGGGGGGGTACGGCGTGGATACGTATATATATATATATATATATATATATATAAAATTATATATTTAAAATATAATTACTAAAATTTTGTATAGATAAATTAAACAATAATAAAGAACAGAATCAATTTCAATAATTTTATCTCTGTTATAAGAAAAATATAGACAAGACAAAACAGAAAATAAATGAAAAATAAAGTTGATCCAAATTCCAAACGAAGATATGTAAAAGAGACATAGCTATAATGAACTAAATATGTATATGAATAAACATATATACTTTCAGTCTTTCACAAAGTTTTGTTCATGTAACTTATATATATATATATATATATATATATATATATATATATATATCTTGTTCATGAAGGAGATAATTGAAGAAGAGGAAAGACTTAGAGGAGTAAGAGAATAAATTTTGTCACACAGAAGTGTCGAGTCGTGTGTCCGAGCCTCGGACACGCGTGTCCAATAAAAAATAATATTTGGACACTTTACAGAAGTATCGGACACGTGTTCGAGCCTCGGACACGGGTGTCGGTGTCCGAAAAGTGTCCGACACTGGTACGGGGCCCTTAGGAGGAGTGTCCGTGCTTCATAGGTGTGTGGCAAAGACAAAACCCTACGGCATCTACAACACAACAGACACAAAACACACAAACCCAACATACCACATACACAACCAACTACCTAACCAAAAGCACAAAGCAAGATATACAAGACATAGTGAAAGAGCCAAACACCAGAACAACCACAAATGAGGAAGAAGTTAGACCACACAAAACAAAATATGATACACAGGCCCCACCATTGGACACAAGACGTTGCCCTTGCCAAGCAAAAACTCAGTCTGCAACATTAGCCACACAACAGCAATATGTGCCATAAACTGACGGGAGCTACGTATCATGACGACATTGCCATACCCAGCAATCCCACAAATGGACGTTGACATCCACTGTTGACCAAACACAGGAGAATTCGCCGAAACCGGAAGCACAAAAGTCGGCCAACTTTTCAGCAAAACGACAACATAACTAGCAAACCCAGTGAAAATTTGTGGCCCCAGTCTGTCGTCCGCCACACATAGATCAAAGGTTACACAACCAGCAAGCAAACCAATTGCCGATGAACCACCAATAGAAAGAGCCATAGCAAGATCAGCAAAACACCACATATAATGGAAAGCATCATAAAACTGATGCTCCGAAAGAGGCCCAGCCTCACAATAGATTCCCGCAACAACGATCCACGACCCAGAGTCAATAGTGGCCGGATGAGAGGCTGCACGGATCAAAGCAAGAGAAAGGAGCAGCCAACCTGCTTTAAAATCACGTCCCACCCGCAACAACCGAAAACAAGAGCTAAACGCCGGCACGCGGGACCAAGAGAACAACAACTCACCACAACAACCGAAAGGACGCTTCCCAAATAGTGAACGCATGGACAGAGAATAAGCAGCGAGAGCCACCCCGACCCTAATTGGCCACGGACAAACACCCAACACGGACAAGCAAAAGTAAAACAAACAGAGAAAACAGAAAAAACAACCAAATACCTGGATCAAAAGGGAAAGACATGGAAGAGCGACCAAGACCCCAGTTAGTCGTCAAAACACCCAAACCAGAAAATCGTAGAACCCAAAAAAACACTCGGAGCCGACCATCGGAGTATGGAAGCCATCCCATATAAACACCACGGGAGAAAGACAAGAACACGAGGACTGAACAACCATTGAAGAAGCCCAACCAGGAAAAAGACCTAACAACTAGAAAACAAAAGAAAAACAACCCTGATGAACAGAGAGACTCCGACGGGGAGGACCAATGAGCTTTTTTCACTAATTTTAGTGTCTTTAAGCACTAGTCAATCAATTAAAGGAAATGGTGTAATTGCAAGGCCACATTCCTTTTTCTTTTCTTTTCTTTTTTTCTTTTTTTTTCAGTATTTTTTCATTTTTGGTATTATATTTTTTGCTATGTGTGGGGGAAAAGTGTTGTGAGTTTTTAGGAGTTGTTTAAAGTGTTTCTTTGGGTTTAAGATCCTTATAAATTCATTTGGAATCACTATGGACATTTTTAATTTTCGTGTTTGGGAGGTCCTATGTGGGCCCAAGGTAGGGGTGACAATTCATATTCATAGGTCATAATCGTGTCGATTTAAAGGTATTGTACTAAACAGCTCAACTCAAACACAATCCATTTAAAATCATGTCAGAAACCTGAGTCAAAAATACTAACCCGACTTGTTTATTAAATGGGTTTACACGTGTAACCCGTTTAATGACCTATTTAATAAAACATGCAAAATAGTATATTATTTAAAGTATTAATAATACTCAATCAAATAATAAATACTAGAAAAATATAAGTTTCAATCCAACCAAATTAGTAAATAATCTTTAATCCACAAAAGAATAAATTATAAGATACAAGTTTAGATAGTTATTTTGAAACTTAAATAGAAATTTATTTATGACATGTATAGTACTTAAACGAGTATAAACAGATTACATGGGTTGAACTCGTCAACCCAAATACGACAGATTAACTAAACGGATTAATCGTGTCAACTCGTTTACAACTCAAACTCATTTAACGTCAACCCAAACCCACTTAACTTGTGTCGTGTTCGAGTCGTGTTGGCGAGTCATGTTAAATGTTGCCGCCCCTAGCCCAAGCCGGATTTTCATGCTCGAGAAAGTTCTGACTTCATTTTTATTCTCTTACACTTGGGAGCATTTTGGGGATTTTGGTGGCTAAGGTGCGGACCACCGTTGTCAATTAATTGACCATACGTTTAGTATATGGCCATACAATATCATATTTTTAGCCTCATCCTCTTCATTTATCTCTCTTAACCAGCCCATGCTCTCTCTCCTTACATTTATCCTTCTTCTTTTTCTTTTTCTTTTTCTTCTTCTTCTTCTTCTTCATTTTTGACACTTTAAACCCTATATTTGAGCTAGTTGGAGGGAGCTTCGGCCAAAGTGGTAGTTGAGAAGTTTGATCTACATCATAAGAGATTCCATTTAGTACCAATCTTGTGAGCATTGGAGCATAAGAGAATTTCGAACCTAGGCTAGAGCTTGGCTTTTGGGGTGGCTTCAAGTGGAAAAGTTGTTCTCCTCTTCTACTTGGTGGACTTTGTTTGCAAATTGATGGAATTTTAACCTTGGAACAAGCTAGGGTTTGGCTTGGATGTGAGGTAGGGGTGTCTAATTTATAGAGTCCTTAGTTTTTTGTGAGTCTTTACTTAGAGATTTTGTGTTATGACATGCTATGTGTGTTTAAATGGTGTAGTTTGTTTATTGTGTTAGCTCTCTTGCTATTTTCTTGCCTCCTTGATGGTCAATTATGGAACTCATATGCCATCTATGTAAATTTCTTGCTAGCATGCTTTATATGTTAAAGTTGAGCCAACTTATATGTTAATATGATCACTTTTGTGAAGTTGCATATGTGATACATAAAAATTGTTAAGTCTATCCTCTTAATGATTCAAGTGAATGTTCTTGTTTTCAAGGTGCTAGGTGTTTTCTAAATTATCAATGTGAAGCTATTTATTGAATTTTGGGTGCATGCTTATGTAATGTGGTTACATAAGTACTTAGATGCATACTTTGTGAGATATATTTATTTTGGGAAGATTGTGAAAAATATATATTCTGTAATTGGCAACTTTGTGAGGGTAATGGTGCTTTGCAGTGTTTGTTTGTTTTTTTTTTTTTTTTTTTTTTTTTCAAATTCAAAATTTTGAGCATGACTTGTGTATTTGAGAGACTTTATATGATTGGTTCATGATTAGCTATGATTTTGATCTTTTGAGGACTATATTGCTTAAAATTTTAAAATTGCTTAACTTGAGAGTCCAATACTCCTTGTATGCTTTGTGGATGCCATTTAGGAGTAAATTTTTCAAAAAATTGATATCATGCTTGCACTTGTGGTCCACATCATCCTGATTTTGTGATTGTTTTGAGATTCATTCTAGGATTCTACACTAGCACAGGCGCACACTAGCATTTAATTGTGGGGTACATGCTTTTGTTGATTATTGAATTGGTTATATCCCAATTGGGCTAGTAGTGCATTGAAAACTTTCATTCTTGATAAAGGTGGATAACAACCCCTTTTCACTAAGTAGTCAGGATTCTAGCCTCATCAAGTATTGAACTTCTCGTGCCGAAAGGTGGAGGGCCCAAACTCTAGGTTAATAATTGAACTTGCCTTAAAAAAAAAAAAAAAAAAAAAAAAGTTTTGCAAAAGCAATAAAAAGTGAGGATTTCTTCCAAAAGGTGAGAAGTGGGAAATGATTAGATAGCGGTTGTTTTGATTTGTAACCTAGTTGATTTGAGTTTGTAAGTCCGTAAGGGTGTTTGAACACTTAATGCCCTAAAGCCGTCCGGTTTGGGAGTCATTGACCTAACGCTCGACCTCATGGATTGCTAGAAAGTTTAATAGATCAACACATTGCACTATACTTCCATCTTTGATCTTTAGGGTAGTTAAAAAATAAAAAATAAAAAT